TTTAGGGCTTTATAGGGTTTAGGAGTTTAGGAGTTTAGTGGTTATAGGGTTTCGGGTTTAGGGGTTTAGGGGTTTAGGGGAATGGGGGTTTAGGGGTTTATAGGGTTTCATGCAGATTTAGGTGTATGTGTCTGGGCATACAAGTAAGTAAGTATGTATGTATGCATGCATGCATGCATGCATGCATGCATGCATGCATGCATGCATGGAGGTATGTATGTATGTATGTATGTATGCATGTATGTATGTATGTATGTATGCATGTGTATACATATACATATACATGTTGTGGGGTGTGATGCATTGATGCCACCTTACACCTCCTACTCAATCTCGAACACATGCAGGTCTTATGGGCGGTGCCTGGTTCGGAGCAGGGGCCATCGTCGAAGAGGCCAGCACGGGAATCGATGCGAGCCGTTCCATCTCCTAAGGAGGGTTGTGAATGTTATATGGATTAGACTAGGTGGGCCTGTGGGTACGCAGATTGAATGAGCACGGAACACTTTCGGGAAGCTTAGTTTGGTTTACGGCAAGAGACCTCTATCTGCTTCATCAGCATCTGCTCTTGGAGGGCTAAGTCGGCATCTGACTCTCCCATAACAGCCTGATACCCTGCTTGCAGTGACGCACAGCTCCACTGCTTGGACATAGCGGGGCCCCCAACTACGAAAAGCCTCTGGCCCCTGAGCACAAAACACCTGTGTAATGGTGCCTCGTGAATAGCAGGCCTGCAGCGACTGCTTGGCATCATGCATATATTGGCTAGACCGAGCAGGAACAGCCACACCGGAAGGCAAGATTTTGAGTTTTGCAGCCACACGACTATGAGTCTCTAGGCTTCGAAGGGCAACCCCTGGATTTCCGAAGGCCTCCCGACCTGTTAAATCGTGTTGGACCCAGTGAAAACCTTGCTAGACTCGATGATATAGCGCAAGCCCAGAACCCATCTTTTTTGTACGGGTAAAGATGGGTTCTAGTACGGGTAAAGATGGGTTTCAGTACGGGTTGGGCAAAACCGGGCTTTGGCTCAGAACCGGGTTTTGGGTGTGGCTTTATGGGTTCTAGTACGTGTAAAGATGGGTTTCAGTACGGGTAGAACCTGGTTCTTCTATAAAACCCCAAGAATTTCCCTCCTATTTCTGCTTAAAATCAATTAAAACTATATAGGAACAGCAAAAGCGCAAATCGGATCAACTGCCGTCCGCAAGCCACCGGGAAAAGCCCCGCAAACCCATGGCCCGGCCTTTGCCTCCAGGTGCCTCTAGGCCTATAGGAACCGGTCGCGGGGCCCCACCTGGCCCCAAAAGCCCCGTCTGCCCAGTTCGGAGCCACCTAGAGACCTAGATCCCGAAAGCCGCCCCGAGTGACCCAGGAAGAATCGAACCCCAAGCAAGACGACAGTGTGATCCGAAAGAAGTATCCAAAGTCAAACAAAAGCCCCACTCCGAATTGTGTAGATATCGGCGTCACGTCTATCTATTATATAGTATGTATGTATGTATGTATGTATGTATGTATGTATGTATGTATATATATACATACAATGTGCCTATCTACCTATCGATCCATCTATCTACTCAATTATAAAAACTATCGGATATGTATGCGTATATACATTTACACACATTTATATAGATACACAAAAGATACAAGAGAATCTACACCTACCTACACACACACACAGAGACACACACACACACACTGTGACATACATACAGATAGACAGACACAGAGACAGGGATCTATATTGGTAGATATACATATATATATATACACACACACGTAGAACTCTGAAAGGGAACGGCCGAATCCACAGTTTTCTGCAACAAGGTATGACTAGGAAACCACCTAGCTATTCACTATTCTGTTCAGAACATTGAAACCCACATGGGAGGCAATCTGTCTCCGGTAATCGCCCTTCTAACAAACACTTGGATGGCCACTGTACACAGAGGAACCGCAATCTCTCACTTAGAACGTACCGGGAAATGACATCGCCATTCTTCTGGGATGTGCAGGTATTTGCAACCCCGTAGATAATCGTAGACATCTCCAAGCTGAGCAGTCTCGTACATGCGAAGGACATCATCCGGTGTGGCGGCGGAAGCGTAGAGCTCGAGGCCGGAAGGAACCTGGCTTGGCAGAGTTGGGCAGCCTTTGCAAGTAGATTTCAAGTCTTCGAAGATGTCGGCCACAGCTTCTGCGAACTGTAGAGGATATATCCTCGGTTTGATGTTGGGGCTTGATCTTGTTTTGGTGTTGAGCAGAATACTTACTTAGCTTCCCCACGGCATCTATTACCCTGTTAACTATACATATATGTATATAGTCTTTGTAGTACCTTCCTGCACTTTCAACAGTTCAAGATGTACCGAAGCAAACCCCCCAAACTTGACCCAAATAACAACCCAGACAGCTTGGTACGTAGCAAAGGATCTCCGAAGGCTTCAAGTGCTTGGATGCAGTGAACCGTGGGGTTCCATCAGGCCCAAGGGACCTAATTGTTGTGGCCAGCTTTTTCTTGATTGCCTTCCGGGCTGTGGCCTTGAGAGCACCTTTGTTTAGCTTCCGCACAGCTGCAGAGTTGGAGTAGGCATATTGCCTCTTTGCCGATCGGGCATTGTAATGCCCCATCCACCAGCCAACACGGCAAACCTGAGCGGGCTGAAATTTGGGGTTGGTGGTGCTACTGTAATTGCTGAAACCGTGCGCGGTCCCAGGACTGAGGCCCCCTCCGTGTCTACACCAGATACCAGTACCATAGAAGACAAAGCATGCCGAAAGGCCGGATAAAACTCAAGCACTGAGCTCCCCGGTTGCTCCAAAACGAAGCAGCCACCCAGAGCGACCGCCAGGAGCAAGAGGCACGAGCACCTGCATGGATGGGGCGTGGAGGCAGTGTTCGTGCAGCTTCCGTGACGATTGGTCCTGCCCTCTATAAGTAATGACAAGCACGTTCGAAGCCCCACCCGTTTGCGGCCTTTCAACCATTTGGTTGGAATCGTGGACGGAAGGTCTGCTGCTGTCGCCCAGAGAATCCGCGGCTGATCTGCGGGAGGTGCCCTTGTTTATGCTCGTCCAACTACCACATTTGGTGGCCAGCCAAATAACAAAGTCATGTGGCTTGCACTTCAACAAGGCAACGATGGCTAACCTTAGCTAGTTGCTCTGGTCAGGTTTGAGGCAGCTGCTTCTGTTCACGACGGGGAACTTAATCTCCCTCTCTCCCACTCTGCCCCGCTCTCTTTCTCTCTTCTTCTCCCTCTCTTTATGGTCGGGCCCATACCCAAAATTTATTTGGGTGCCTTCGGGACCACAGTACGAGTTATGATTATGATTTGGTTTAGCATTTTGCTTTCACTTTTTGTTGGGGTGGTGCTTCTGGGTTGCTAGTGGGGTTCCTGGAGCTGCTTCGGGGGCCTTTGAATTTGGTGTCTGGGGACCACAACTTAGGTTGCTACATGGGGCCCCCGGGGCACTGATTCGCTGGGCCGCGGCTCGGGGTGTACGTGTAGGGTCTACAAAGGCAGCTCTGAGAAGGGACGGAGAGAGGTAGAGAAAGCGAGAGGGAGTGCGGGACAGAGAGAGAGGGAGAGGGAGGGAGAGAGAGAGAGAGAGGTGTATGTATATGTATATGTATATATACATACATATATATATATCTTTAATAATTATAATTAACCCACGAAGACTTGATTTACCTTGCTGCCCAAAGACGCAAAGCCTGCAGATGTGTTAATGTCGTAGTAGTTGCTTCCCCTGCTGGGCTGTTCGAAGTACTGCTTGTCAAACTTTGCACCTCGATGGCCTCGAAGTGTCACCATCGACGTGCATCTAGCAGCACCCGCGAAAAACTCCACCCATGGCTTTCCCTTTCGCTTTTGCCTTGGCTTTGGCTTTTGCCTTCGGGGCTTGGCTTGGCTGGGTTTTTGCTCTGACCCGGGCGGTTACCGCAGCACTTCCTGCATCATCGTGATCATCGTCCTCCTCATCCAGGGACGCCCCATCGTGAGGTGGCTGAGCTGCATCACCACCCTTGTCATGCTTGAGTCTCTTCATAGACCTAAGCTTCTTGAGCCCGCAGGCCCGCTTTGGCTTCGAAGCTTTCTTTCGCTTGGGCTTGCAAGGCGGCTTTGGCACCGCATCAGCCTGCTCCACAAGTTCAGCTTCATCACCATTCTCCGTAGCAGCAGTTTCACTCTGCTCCACATGATCAGCAGGAAGGCCCCCCAAAACCTCGTCCGGAATCTCTGGTGCCTTTGCCTTGAGCGACGTCCTGAGGCCCAGCTGGTCTCGCCGGCCAAAGACCTGGCAAGGCTGGGGGTTAGCTGCATGGGATCTGCTTTCATGAAGCTGGCATAGGAGGGCTAACAGCTACAGGTGAAATCACCAACCGATTCCAGTCATATAGCTTTCACTTAAACTATTCGATCCATGCTGATTTCAACTTTTGCACCCCGCAAATCAAAACTAATGCACTCAAGCCGGCCTCTGTTGGCGGTGGCACCGGCTGCGAAGCAGGAGGGGCAGTGGCAACTTCTGCTGGTGGGCTCGAGGGTGGGTGTGGGGGCGGAACCTCGCCCGGGTGCTGGTACTTGAAGCGCTTCAGATCAACATCATCCGTGCTTGGCTCACGGAGGGGAGTTCTACTTTGCTTCACAAACTCCGGAGTAGCTGCTGTGATGTCGAAGGGTTGGGTGTCGGCCTCATCAGCCGTCACCGCAGGCCTTGTAGGCGTGATCAACATCGAACCAGGGGCCACCTGTCCTGCGCAGGTGCATGCATTATGCACAGATGCCACAAGCTAACTGATTGGAAGCCATGATCACAGTGATCACAGAACTCATGAAGGCATATAATGTGAAGCGTGTGACCAGAATGCTGGGATTGACTACGATCTCATGTTTGGGCCTGCTTGCGCTGCCAAAGGAGCCGGGGATGACGATGCAGCCGATGCGAAGGACAGCGGGGACTCGGGATCGAACTTCCTCCTCTTGAGCTGAATCCTCATTGCACAGGATAGACGTGCTAAATTAATCTGACGACAACTAAAATTTTTCTATAAATGATGACACAACGACGGCCTAAAATGCACAATGCTCACAAGCAACTCGTAAAGCTGCCGCTTCATCATCTCCAGCTGAAGCTTTCGAGGGTCAGTAGGACCTTGTAGTTCTGTATGAATGACTTAAGGCAACAACAAAGCAGGTTACATGTAACAACTGCATATAGTGCGTGCGCTTGAACACTTGGTCCCGCCTCTGGACTGGAACATTGGTGGCTTCTGATCGCCCGGGGACGGCAGTGATGCTGCTGGGGAACTCAAGGGTGGTGGGGTTGCGGCAACCGGTGATAGTTCATCCCACCCAGGCTGGCTGTCTGACGAAACCACCCGTGGACCCGGAAGAATTGGCGTGCAGGGCACGGGATTGCTTGCTACCACCACAGCATTCGGCATCATGGGCTCACCAGGATTGGTTGCCGGGGCTACGATAGCACTCGGCATCAAGGGCTCACCAGGATTGGTTGTCGGGGCTACGACCACAGCATTCGGCATCACGGGCTCAGGAGGATTGGTTGTCGGGGCAGCTACCACCACAGCATTCGGCATCGAGAGCTGACCAGGATTGGTTGTTGGGGCTACGACCACTGCACTTGGCATCGAGTGACCAGGATTGGTTGCCGAAACAGCTACCACAGCATTCGGCATCGAGGTCTGACCAGGATTGGTTGTCGGGGCAGCTACCACCACAGCATTCGGCATCGAGAGCTGAGCAGGATTGGTTGTCGGGGCTACCACACCACTTGGCATCGATGGCTGACCAGGATTGGTTGTAGGGGCTACCACACTAGGCATCGAGGGATTGCCTATCGGGGCAGCTACCACCACAGCACTTGGCATCGATGGCTGACCAGGATTGGTTGTAGGGGCTACCACACTTGGCATCGAGGGATGGCCTGTCGGGGCAGCTACCACCGCAGCACTTGCCACCAAGGGCTGACCAGGATTGCTTGTAGGGGCTACCACAGCACTTGGCGTTGAGGGATTGCTTGTTGGGGCAGCTACCGCCACAGCATTCGGCACCGAGGGCTCATCAGGATTAGGATTGGTACCAGGGCCCAGCTCATGGGCATCATCTGCCTCAGAAGGTGGCTCCCCAGTGGCTCCACTGAGCAATGGAGCAGAAGCCTCGCGCACAGTAGGTTTGATACACTACAGAGCAATCTGCACTCAGATAAGCACATACACACTCCCCAGTGTACGTCGAAATGGGCTTGCATGAGCCCGTTCCAGCCTCGGCAGCACGATCACGAATCCCTTGGACGTAGTCCTCCGACAAATCACAAAGCATATAAACAAGTGCAGGGATGGATGACCCCAACAAGGTCAGATCGACAGATTTGGAGACTCTGTATATGCACCATGCATTATAACCTCTTGTACACCCGGCTCGAATAACTGCATGCATTATATAGTGACGTGTCCTCCAGCTCCGGGTTCAGGATCAGACACAGGTCTTGGAAGTCTGGGTCCTGAGCTGTGCATGAAAACCGTATTGCATGTGTTGTACCAGTAGCTATAGCTCTAGGGGTCTATCTAACACAAGATAAGGGATATTCCTCAAACTACACAATCCACTGCTGAAACCAAGAGTCCAAGCTAACCAACTTCTTTTGTGTCTTCCTTTTGACGAACCCAGCCATATGCCGGATAGCCCAAGCTTCATCGTCGACGAAGGAATCCGAAACTTCCCTTGAAGCCATCAAGTAAAGTGCTTTGACAGACCCACGAAGCGGCTCGATATCAGGCAACTTGAGGGCACAAGCAGTCATCCTCACCAGCACCGGCGCCAAAATATCACAGTTAGCGATCGCAAGCTTGTTACAAGCATCCAAGTTCTGATCTCTAACTGCAGTAATAAAGTTTTCTCCATTGCGAATCCTTTCCCGAACAGATTGCTCAGCCTCCCAAGCCGCTGCCAAGCCCTCCGCACTGAACCTTTCCGGCTCTGCCATCGTGGCACTCCGATCTAACAGCCCTAAAGCACCACTCTAGAAAAGGCTGCAATCATGGCACATCAAGTTTACACTCAATCTGACGCAGGACAATCAGCGTGCTGGGCTGGGCCTCCGGCATCTTTCGGCGATGTGGCTCTCGAAAAAGAGAGCTGTCTAAGCCAAGATCTGCTGGAGATCGGGGCTGTGCCTGTAAGTTCATCCTATCGACTGCTTATAAGAACCATACATAACTTATTCATAAAACCTAAAAGTAGGGTTTTCTTTAAAAACCAGGTTTTACTCGGAAGAACGCGGTTCTCAGAACAAGATGCTTCAAACCCAGGCTCTTGCATGTCACCCCAACTTTTCTTAGGTTCCGGAGTCTGTAGGTAAACACCTTAAACCCCTAAACCCCTNNCTAAACCCCCTAACCCCCTAACCCCCCTAAACCCCCTAAACCCCCTAAACCCCTAAGCCCTAAACCCTTAAACCCCTAAAACCCCAAAACCCCTAAAGGCCCTACAAACCCCCAAAACCCCCTAAACCCCTAAGCCCTAAACCCCTAAACCCCCTAAAACCCCTAAAGCCCTAAACCCCCTAAGGCCCTAAACCCAAAACCCCCTAAACCCCTAAACCCCCAAGCCCTTAAGCCCTAAACCCCTAACCCTAAACCCCCCAAACCCCTAAACCCCCTCCAAAACCCTCACTTGTGCACCACTGAACAT